TGTCGGGCGCGATTGCCTCCAATAACTTTTATATGGCGATTATCCTATTATAGTTCTTTATACAATGACTAAATATTAACCAAAAAAGCTAAAAATCTACCAAAAAAGCAGAAATCTATTAAATGAGGCACCGTTGCGTTAAAGACCCTCAGTCAGAGTGACCTTGACCAAATTATGTTAAAAATAGCGCGGTTTCAAACAGACACACTGTTTCGCGGATCTATTGACCTCTCTAATAATAATAATAATCTCCCTAATTCACCACCTTACGAGTGAATTTCAACCCCTGAAGTCGACTGAACGATTTGTGTAGGGGAAGGGACGGCTATTATTATTATTTGCCGTGGCGCTCCGGGGCGACTTAAAGATGATTGATGGTGCCATTTGACTTACAGGTGAGGAAAACCCGGAAAACCTCACCCACCATCATAAAACCTCACCCACCATCATTGTTTAACTACATTCTCGGAAACGTCTCGCGTTCAATAAATATATTGAACCGACAGACGTGATAAGCCAGAGCGCAATGGAGTCCCAAAAAAAGTAGAGAGTAACACGAACGAAAATAATATATTAAATTTAATTTATATTTTTAAGTTATTTATGTGCTTTTATGAAATTTAACAATAAAACATGAATCAACGTTTGCTGCAGGCAATCTATCACCGGGTCCTTTCAGAATGGCCAGTTTCATTTAATTTCGACAAAATAATGTTTAGATATTTACATAATTTTATTAATAAAGTTAAACGCTGATTTTTGTTTTGATTTTAAGCCTGTACATGTCATAAAGTGCACTATTATGTAGTTGGTAACTAAGTAGTAAAAACACAATAAATGAACTAAAATGACAAAATATATTAAAAAGAGATTCTATTAAGTATAGAAAAATAAGCATCGATTTACATGATCATATATTCCATTTCACAAATATTTTTTGTATAAACCGAAGTAATATTTAAAAAATAAAATATATTAAAATAATGGGATTTACCTCCAAGGTACGATTTAGCTAATTCTAAGAACATATTTAAGACGATAAATTATATTATCAGCAGTAAGACACATTTTGAGCAAAAGTTGCAAATTATAAATATATAACTATTATCCAAAGCCATACAATACTGTGCAAAACACACAAAAACTATGCATGCTTTGTTTAAAAATGTGTAACATTTAGACATAGGTAATACATTTTGTATGATTAAGAGTTTTTAATCAGGAAAAAAAAGAGTTTTACAAATTAGTTTTAATAAAATATGTAACTCCGGCATATCGGTATGATGTTTGGCACAAGTTTTCAAATATCAATGTTTCAATTTATTTTCCATCACTGCAAGTGGTTTTCTGATATGAACAATTATACCAAATAGCCACAACAAAAATTATATTGGCTAGGTCACATAATATCCCATATACATAAATGTATTTCTTAGTATTAAGTGAAACAGAGAAAACAATATATACATATATACAGGGTGAATCCTAAGTTGATACTGTATAGTGTATAGAAGTCATTAAAATAAACAACTTTTTCAAATAACTAAAAAAAAAAATAAAAATAAGACTTATTATTTATTCCAAAATTTATCCAATATGGTTCTGGCTAATTTATATAATGTGTAGAACTTTCGTTCATAAAATTAGATGTTGATCACATTCAGACCTTTGTAAGAACTATTCACAACTAAATTTAATCTTTAAGTTGTTGTTGTTGAAAGTAAAAAGGATACAATTGATTTTCCCGCAATATTGTAGACACTTTTTATTTGACTCTTATCCCACCTGATCTGAAATGAACCGCTATTTACCCGCTACTATTTAAAATGGGATGACACACGACTGTGTTACAATAACCAATACACAGTAAAACATGATTCATGCTTACAAAATCTGAAAAAAATAATAAAATCATAAAAAAGGCAACTTTTAATACAAGTTCGCTTGGATTTAGTCCAGACTCGGATTATTTTTTTTTTAATTTTGCATAGTTAAAAAAATTTCAACTTAGGATTCACCCTGTATAAATATAAAAATTGGAACGTCCTGACTACAAAATTTATTTTAACTGTTTGACATTCTAATTTGCCATCGTCAACAAACGATTAGTTAACATGTAAATAGACAGATTGGCGCAAAACGAAGAATAACGAAAAATCATACAGAATGTACTACGTGTACTAAGTTAAATACTTTTACCTACATCACTGTCATTATTTCATTATCGACATATGACACATTACATTTCAGAACTGTTAAGAGACTCACAAAAATCACTTTTCCACAAGCAATGTACATTATTTTTTGTACGACAAGTAGCCCAAGCAATGAAGAGCTCCAGGACAGGGGTTACCTGTGAAAAATTAGAATAAAGCAAAAAATGGTAAGTTGGTCCAATTTAATGTCCCGATGATCCCTTTTCAATTACTCTCGGGCTATCTGGCTTCCATTTTTTAGGGGTTGAATTTGAAGGATGTATTATTATTGAGAATACTGTATGACAGACGCGATTAAAGAAATTCGGAGAAATTCAAAGGTATCATAAAGAGCTGAAATTTTGCTTGTATACTTAAATGTTCTGATGAACACATTTGAACTTTATATATAAATTATTTATCATTATATAATTTGATAGAATTTGATCAAATTCGCGTCAAGACACAATAAATAAAGCTTCTGACAACTCACTGGACTATATTCCGTCCGGGCCATATTTCTCAACGGCCCGCCCGCTAGCATAGCGATGTATTGAAAATGGTTACGTCACAGATGCAGAAAGTACGTGTTTAATAGGTTTAAATGAAGCCTATTGATTTTTAAAAAAAATGTGATTAAAATAGGGGTTTAAGGGGGTTAAAATAAAAAAAAATCATATATTAAAAACGAAAAACAATATCAACTTGAAATTTTTAGGAAAAATCAAGTTATATAAGGGGCGAAGCCTATTTATTCTAAAAAAAATCTGAACAAAAATAGAAAGTGGAGAGGGATTAAAATATTAAAATAAAATCAAATCCTAACTCAGAAACAAAAAACGATATAAACTTGAATTCTTCGAAAAAATAAAGATTTTATATGGGGGATGAGGCCTATTGATTCTGAAAAAAATCTGATTAAAAATGGGGAGTTAAAAGGAGGTTTGTTTAACTGTGAAGAGTATCATATAGAATATCAAGCATATCTTCATTCTAGTTTAAAATATAGTTAGTTTCATTTAAATATTGGGCACTTGCAGGGTATATTATTTGAGTATTAATGGAGTTTTATTGACTAAATCAAGTAAAAACTGATCTTAATTGAGTTCAGTGGCGTAGTCATTTTTTTCTACTTAAATTTATGTAGCCACATGTAAACTAATTTACTATTTTCAGATCTGCACAATGTATCACAAATCGGCCAGGAATCCACCGGTTTTAGCAATTCATTAAATCTCCTAAATTCTGACCAATTAGATCGTTTGATTATTCCTCTTGGTATGTTTCAAAAAAATCAAAAGATGGGTCACAAATTATACATAGATCGATTGCACCTTACTTATCTATGTACAAAATTGCATACCTACACAAAAAGTTAAAAATTTAATGCTTTTTTTAACGTTGCTCCTAAACCGTTTAACATTTTTTCATGAAATTTTATATGGCATGTTAGAATACAATAACTAATAAAGCCGAGGTAGAGGCAATATTTTTTTTTTCGATTTTTGTAGGTTTTACGAGGGGTTCATCGCCCTTTGACTTTTTTGTGGTATAAAATTTGGTCGAAAATGAAACGCCACTGGAATTTAACATCCATTTTCAAACTTTTTCTCTTAGTAATTAGTATTTGTTTGTAAAATATTTAGTTTAAATGATACACCTACTTGTTAAAATTTTTCAATGTAAATTCTACGTTTGCAAAAATATCAAAATCAGGTTTATTTATTGTCAGTCTTGACATGAAGTTGTTGTGGACAAAAATTTTGCTTTTTACCATTTGATTAAAAATGGTAAGAATTATATTATGGAGATAAAGATTGTAGGAACCTAATGTTCTTTTTGCAATTAGGTGAATGTCAAGGGAATGGTGCGGCGGCAGCAAGGCTTTATGCGCAAAAATACCCAAATAGAAATGTACCGGATAGGCGTATATTCCTGGAAACTGTTCGCCACTTAAAAGAAACTAGCACTTTCTTGATTGCCACGCAATAGGGGTCGTTAGAAAGACCGTGATAATGATGATACTATCCTAGACAGTATTGACGAGCACCCAGAAACAAGCACAAGGGTGTTACATGCTCAAATAGAAGTATATCATATAAAAGTGTACAGAACACATAAGGAACAGCTACCATGTAACATCTGTTCAAGAATTACTAGCGCAAGACCTTTCCAAACGGATGGGATTTTGAGATTAGGCTAAATTTACAATGAATGGCGTTATTAATCATCACAATACACATATCTGGGCCGACGTAAACCCTAATGCTAAAACAGTGCGTCACCATCAAATTAATTTTAAAGTAAACGTTTGGGCTGGAATTACCGATAACTATTTAGTAGGGCCATTATTTCTTCCCAATAATTTAAATGGATACAATTATTTATTATTTTTACAAAACGATTTGCCGATCTACTTAGAAGATGTACCATTATAAAGTATGTGGTTTATGCAAGATGGTGCTCCGCCACACTTTAGCAACGACGTTAGAGCGTTTCTATTTCGACAATATCCAGCACTTTGGATAGGAAGGGGGCCCGATGCACCAATTGAAGGCCAGTCAGATGCAAGCCAGATATCCCGGGAGCAATTTAAAGGGGATCATCGGCATATTGAAGTGGATTAACATCAATTTTTAGATTTATTCTAATTTTTCACAGGTAAATCTACTTCCTGGCCTAAAAATAATTTGATAAAAACATGTAAAACCAGGAAATCTGGTAATAGAGGTTCAATCAAAATGTAGCTGGTTTTAAGTTTGGTTTTTATTTTTCTTTATAAAGGAGACTTTAAAGATAATTTTAAATAATAATAATAATAATACTCTCCCTAATTCATCCCCTTACGAGTGAATTTTGACCCCAAAAGCTGAGCTTGTGTGGGGAAAGGGATGGCTATTATTATTATTTGACGTGGCGCTCCGGGGCGACTTAAAGATGATTGATGGTGCCATTTGACTTACAGGTGAGGAAAACCCGGAAAACCTGACCCACCAAATAAAAGCTTCCTTTGGTTAAATTCGTCTTTAGAGTTTAAGAAATTGACCCTAAGCCTTTCATATCCACATTTAAGTCTTTCATATTTATATTTTTAATTAAAATATTTTTTGTTGCTTTGACATTGTTTTGGGATACTTGTTTGTAATTGATCTCAATTATATTAACTTTGTTATCAAGTAGTTTTTTACTAATTCATTTTATATTATCAATACACTTCTAAGAGTTCATACAATTTCAAAAATACGATTAATTTCCCAAAGTTGGAAACTAATTTATTTACTCTGAAATCACAGTACTTATAGCTCGACTTTGAGATTAAGGAATTGACTTACACTACAGTTTTGAAAAATAAATATCCAACATTTCGTTTATAATAATTATAATAACAATTGACTAGTAACTGTGATATTCAGTTGTTACACAAAATATGATATATACTCATGTGGCATCACACCTCTTCTTGGATAAAATGTGTGATTTACTGAGTAATTTAATAAATTAGCTATATTTGATGTGTAAATATCGGCAAATCTAAATAATCTCCTAGAGAAATATGTTGGATTGTGATATGTTCGGAATACACTTCCAAACTGTTCATTGAAAACGAATTTTATGTCGTTCCTAAAACAAAAAATAACCTATATAATAATCTAAGTATATTTGATTCTTTTCAAAATTAACAATGTTTACGAGGAAATATGAATTTATTGTGTTACTTTAATGGTTCAAAATCTCCAACAACAAATTATTAATGGTGTCGAGTTAAAGTTATTTGACAAAGAAACTACACTCGAACAAAACATTGATACGCAGGTTTCAAACAAGAATTAAAAGCATAGAAAATAAATTACGTCAGCCTAAAGAGATATCAACTGTCCTGACCTGACCTAAAGAGATATCAACTGTCTGTCTCATTTATTTAAATCCTAATATTTCAAGCAGATAGTGCAACTATGTCATGAAGAGTATATAAAATATCATGAAACGTTTGTTGTGCGGGTACCATAGAAATAGTATAGAAGGCCAATATAAATACAATATTTAAGCAGAAATGAAACCGACTGTGCATAAAAACGCACCTCTGCGCAGAATAGTGTATCTATCGACATATGCAGTGTGCATGACTTATCCTGTAGCGTTGCCAAGTCTATTAAAAAAAATTCTAATTAATTTATTTTTAAAATAGCAATTTTTGTAAAAATGATCATAAAGAATCTCCAATTCCGCCTAGGAATTCGTATCGTAACACAGTTTGCAAGAATATGGACGGCTTAATTCCGCAGTCACATGTTCAACTCCTGGCCAATGCACTATTTTTTTCTTTCTTTAATTCTCAACCTTTTCTATTTTTATTCGGTTTGTTTTTACTTTGGGGATATGAGGGTGTAATGTTCATAATTTCCTAGGGAAATTTGGCGATTTTTCATTTTCATATTTTCAAAAAATCCAGATTTTCGGATCTCAACTGATTATTCCCTTCACTTTTGTTTCATATTTTAATTAACAGTTTCTATGTATAAAATATCGCCACAAAATAACTAGGAAGTAATTTTGTGTATTGTGTATTTTATGTATAGAAATATCATCAACTATAATATTTACATGTAATTACTTTTACAAAAATATATTAAAGAAGTAAGGTATCAATGCTCAGCATGAGATCACCTAGAGATTTAATATTAACTTGGCATTAGCACTCAAATCGGGAGTGTTAAGACTTCCTTAGAGAACCGTTTCCTATTTAGATTCTTTCAGTTTGTCTATTTGTGAAATTTTGGTTTGAATTTGTGGTTTATTATTTAATTACACGGTGAATGTGGCATTTTTGAATATTTTTGTATTATTATTAGTTATTTTATATTAGTTTTGTGTAGTGTTAAGTTAAATCTTAGGTACAATAAAATACAGTTTTACATTATCTAAGGAAAATGTAATTCAATGTATTTAGCAGATGTATTATTTATTACAGGATTTATCTCTAGAAATGTATACCTACCTATGATTGATTGCGTAAATAGAGATCTGCATATTTGTATATAGGCTGTCCAGCGTCGGGGAGACACTATCTGTATAAGACAAAACAATGAATGGATTTTGTTAAAAATCGCTAAAAATAGTTAACACATGATCTTTCCATATAAAATATTTTGTCAGTTCTGTGATTCTTATACTGGAAGTAGATATCAAATTTCTTATTTTAAATTGGATGCCACTTCTTTTATTCTAGATACCAGTAGAATAAAATAAAAATTATTTAAATAAAATGAACATATGGCGTAATAAAATAATTTATCTAATTTTTACATAAAAAATGACATTTTTTATAATCGAAGCAAGTGTCAAAATGATCTACTTTATGCAACCAGTTGCATAATGTTGAACATTATGAAACTGGGTTCGAAAAATTTATTGTCACCAGTTGCGAAAAGAAAAAAAAAACTAAACCTTTTTTGGTTTTAAAATCAATAATATACATTATCATTGAAAGTTTATATCAAAGACTTATAAAAATAGAATTAGGTTAAACTTACAACCTAGTAATAATGTTGTTTTGGCCCTTATTTTTATTCTAAATCAACACAAAATTATTAAAACACAATACACGACAAAATAACAAACTTTCTTGAGATCTAAATAACTTTAACAAGCAATATAAACACTACAATAAGTCGTTAAGAATAAATATTTTTTATTTGTCAATAAAAGAATAAAGTTAACCATATGCAACTAACAATACAAGAAAGAAGTAACATTAGTTTACCAAAACACAATTTTATACATAATCTAGTCAAAATTAGAAAAAAAAATTGTATGTAACACGTTATGAAATGCCGATTCGTTCATGTTGCGGGACCCCGCTCTGCTCGTCCCGCAAATAATCGTTCATTACATAAAATAAGGCATTTCGTAACTGATTTCATAGATAGCTATTTTGGATAAAATTAAAATTTGAAAGTTTTTTAATTGAATTATAATGAATAAGGTAATATTTACCTATTACATGACAAAAAACATGTATAAATTTTGATTAAACAAAACATCAATATCTTCAATTTTTTAAATGGATGAAACATTATTTTTTTATTTCATTATATTCACAGGCCTAAAATAAGTGTTTATACTCATCTTGAACATCTACTTCTGGTATAAGCGGAAATGATAAAAATGTCAAATTTTTTAGATAAAAAGAGCATAACCTATTTACTGGTTTTATCAATTTTTAACAAAATTCGTCCAATGGATTGGACTGACGGATTTCGTCGATGGCCATTTGGGTAATGTAACTCAATAAAGAACGTTTATTATTATTATTGTTATTATTCGTCCATTGGTTTGTCAGATACAGAGAGTGTCCCTCCGTCACTGGAAAGCATTTAAAAAAAAATATTCTACATTTTTTTGGATATAGGTGTGTATCTTGGGATGTTCGTTTTTAGGGTGCGCATTAATCTGGTATTATAGATATGTTCAACTTCTTTGATCTCAAACAGATCGCAATTTTGTTTGATAAATATAACCGATTCCAAGATATACCGGGTGTTCAAATTAAAGTGTTACAGTTAAATACTATCGAGAATATGCATTTTGGAAAAAAAAGTTTCAGACAAAAGTTTTATAGTTTTTTGGGGGAAACATTTTGGCTAAATTCATTTTTTTATAGCTGACCATAATATGGTCATATCGAGGTGGACTTTGTTTTTTTAAACTGGAAGCCTTTTTCTTTACATATTCTTAAAGTACATAAAAAATAAGAAACTTTTAAGGGAAATATTTTTTTATTGGACTTTTACTTTTTGAGTAACAGCTACTTGAAAATTTTGCTGGGCGAAAAAAAAAGTTGGCCAGTTATAAAAAACGATTTTAGCCAAAATTTTTTCCCCACAAAACTATAAAACTTTCGACTGGCACGTTTTTTTTTATAAAAGGCGGTATTTAGCTGTAACACTTTAATTTCAACACCCGGTATAAGCACACTGTGGTTAATATCTTCTTTTGAATAAAAATATCTTTACAATTATCTCGTATTTTCAGGTGGAATATATATAAGGCACCTTTTTTGTAAAATTAATATACATTGTGCATCAGCATAACTAATTCTAGACTGCACATAGGCATGTATGCGGTTAGAGCAGTAGTTTGATTTATATTAGCTGAAAGTATTCTTAGAGCGTAGCTAAATTTGAAATTATTACCCGATACTTGTTTAACCAATCTCCGATCAAGCGTCACTCCCAGGAATGTGACTGATGTTTCTGAAATTATATTTTTGCCCTAGTATGTAAATGTGAGGCTTTCATCCGTGCCACGACTAACATTAATCACTTGAGTTTTATTGACATTTAACATTGTTTTTAAACTGATTTTCTAATGTATTTAATGTGGAATTTAGTTTTCCTTTGCATAAATCAAGTGTTGGTTTACTAAAAATCAATGCGGTGTTATCGGCATATTGTACTAAAATTTCATTAACTTGTGGTAGTTAATTTATTCAATATAGAACCCTGTAGCACACCTTTCTTTATAGATTTAATATCTGATTTAACTAGACTATTATCTTAAAAATCTGTCATATTGATGTCTATAAAGAAAATATGATTTCATAAGAAGCAGGGGTACCCCTATGATTCCGATTAACTCCAGTTTCCTACATAGAATGTTGTCATGGACACTATTAAAGGCTTTAGACAAGTCCAGACATAGCAACAAGGTCTTTTGATTTTCAAGGATTCAGTAATTGTTTTCAGAGTTTCATATATGGCACCCACTATGCCTTTTCACTTTCTGAAGCCACTTTGACAGTTTGATAAAACTTAATTACTTTCTAAGGTCTCAAGTCTGCTAAATATAATTGTTTCAAATATTTTGTGAGGAGATTGGCCTGTAATTTTTAACACCACATCTTTCACCTTTTTTATACAGAGTGGAAAGTCTAACTGAAACAAATTATGTAACTTGATAAATAGAGATTTGTCGCAAAATTCCTGAAACACGTCAATTTTTATTTTCAATGGGGCATATTACAAAGAGATTTTTTTTTATCTTTTTAATTATCTGGGGGTTGCAGACACCCCAACTTTTTTTTTAAATGGAAGGGTAGGTTGATTAATTTTTTATTTAAAAGCTTTTTCAACTACAAATACAATTTTTTTTGTTACTTTTTGTAAGCAATGTGTCGGAAAAAATGAAATAAGGAAATATTTACTAAAACTACTTTAATGCAATAAATGTTCAAAGTGCTCTCCACCTTGTTGCTGACAATATCCTAATCGACTATAAATAGCATTCCGAACATTTTGTAACACTTCCGGCGTTACTTGCCCAATTTCGTCCCTGATTCTTTGTTGAAGCTCGGCGATGTCGTTAGGTTTAGTGGCATAAACCTTGCTCTTTAGATATCCCCATAAAAAATCTAATGGAGTAAGATCCACCTATTTGGAAACACTTCGTTAAGATAGGTCCGTACATTTTGAGCAAAATGTGGTGGTGCCCGGTCTTGTTGAAATCACATCCGTTGGTCAAATAAGTTGGGATCCAAATTATTGGGGAATAAATTCACTAAAGTAGGAATCAGTTCTTCTTGGAGCATAGTAAGGTATGTTTCTCCGGTTACGTTTCCATTG